GATAAATCCATGCCATTAAAGCCCTGCAGGGACAGGCGTCAGCATGCATCCACATGTTGCTTTACTCGTAAACCCAAGACAATAATTGGCAACGGAAGTAAAGCCCTGAGTACAAACATTTGTGGTGAAAATGCTGTCATAGCAATTTCAGTGTCTTTGATAAAATATTGGAGTTCAGGGTCGTGACTTTTTCCCTCTGAAATGCCTAAATAAACTATCCACAACAACAAAGACGAGAAAAGAAAGATACCAATATGCAAAATAAAATCTGCCATGCAATTATAGCTCCTTCCCTGTGAGGAAAAAAGCTGCTATACAAGCCAAACGCTTCTGAAGTCTGATTTTATCTAGAACTATAATGGAGAATGGGAAATCCCTCTGTATTCAATCTCCAGCAAGGCTCCTAAACATCTTCTTGACATCCTAACAGGGATCTGAATCAGACCATAAAAAAATGTCCGTATTTGCTTTGACCTAGATAAATGATGAACGGTCTTTTCTCCTTATAAAACCTATAAAGTAAAAATATAAAGAACGAAAAGCGTCTCTTGCGACAAACAGGAAACCAAATAAACAGAAAACAGGCCTCTGAAACTCCATAAAATAGATGGAAGAAAAAAACACACCGACTGCTACCGTTGTGATTTAGTAGAGAGATAAAAGCTTTCTCAGCTATTACACCATGTAAAATTCTCTGCTGCATTTCCTCTGCCCTTTCATTCACTGCCGCAGATACCGCACATGCAGAGCGGCGGGCTGCCCCCTGGGCGGATGTGCTCTATGAAATAGCTCTGAGTTTTGCTCTCCACGGACTGTTGTCTCTGTTTTTCAACTTGTGTTTGCTGATGACTAACAAATGGTTTTAAAACACTTCACTTGAGCAAACCCAGGTCTTAAACTGCAGCCACCCCCCACCCACCACCATCCACAGAAATCAATGGTCCATGTTAGTCTGCAGCAGGGGGGTTCAGACATAATCACCAGTGTTGGGAATGATTTCCAGAGTCAGGCAGCTGAAGACCTCCTCTGTCAACTCCACCAATGCACAAACAGCTCCTAAACAAGTCGTGTTGGATCCCTGTATTATGATTCTTAACGTTATTAATGGGCCAGTCAACCATCCTGTCCTGGTTGCTGTTAAAGGAAGTACCAACCATTGTTCTTTGAGAAGCTGGCGAGGCCGTGTTTTCCTGCTACATCCCAAAATGTGGCCCCTGAGACAATAGAGTCACAGTCTGAGGACATTCATTACAATGTTTGTTTCATTTAGTTTTTCAGTTTAGTTTCTATACCTCAGTATGCCTTTTTGTTTCTTTGGCTTAAGCTGCCATAACATCATGCATGTTCTATATTTATTACAATAGATAATAGATTGTCATGAAAGTTTAATTTACCTTTCTTCGTACTTCTCAGATGACGAAGCTCTACCGACTACCATGAGGTTGACATTTATAGTTTTCAGTGAAATGCCCCTTTATTGAATGGATTTCTGTAGAATTTGATTTATATGTTCGTGGTGCCCAGAGGATAAAGCCTACTGACTTTGGTGATCCTCTGACTGTTCATCTAGCACCATCATGAGGTCCAACTATTCACTCATCCAATGAAATGGCTCAACATCTACTAGGTGGACTAGCACAATCCCCTGATTTTGTATACATTTCCGTGACATTAGACGTTCCTATTCCCCTCAAGATGAATTGAAATACATTTAGTGACCCCTTTGCTTTCCTTATAGCACCAGATCAAGTCTTTTTTCAGTACCTTAATTTATGACCATATACCTGAAAAATGTATGCAATTCCCATCTGCCTCATCTGTACTTTGTGTTTTAGTGCAACATATCCAATTTTAGCATGCTTACACACTAAACTAAGATGGTAAACCTGCTAAACATGCTGGCATTGTAGACTTAGTGAGATATGGTTTGGGCATGACATACTTTCACTTGCATGACTTCCATTGTGTGTTTGTATGATAGTAATGCAAGCCCTCTTTGCAGATTACTGACTACATGTCACAGACCTCAAGGGAAGCTGAAGGTAGCCTCCCTACTGGCCAAACAATTGTAATAAACGTATGTTGTTGCAGAATGTAGATCCTGACTTGAATCCAAATTTCCGTTCATTGCTTACTGTGTTTGCATCTCGTGGTTCGCAGCAAGTAATTAACAATTCTAAGAAAGGTTGGAGCTGAAAGCTTAAAATAAGTCTTAAGGGTTTGGATCATCCATCAAGTCTTACATTTTCATCTATAAAGTGATCATCCTCCCAAACTTATTCAATACCTAACCTAACCCATGCTTAAATTATTAAATTCTTGTTGATTAATTTTGGCTCTTTAGAGACCCTTTTATTTTTAGCAGCATTGCTCTAGGTGTAAGTTCCACATTGGTTCAGACTGAAATATCTCAACAACTAATGGATGGATTGCCATGAAATCTGGTACAGACATTCATCAGACTTTGGTGATCCCCAGAGGTATCCTCTAGCGCCACCAGCAAGTTGACATTTCTGGATTTTAGTAAACTATCCCAACAACTATTGGACAGATTCATATCAGTAATTTGGTACTGATATCTGTGCCCTCCTCAGGAAGAATTGTAATAACGTTGTTGATCTTCTGTCTTTTCATCTAGCGCCATCATCAGGTCAAACCTTTGTCCAAACTTTGATTTATGACCAATTACATGCAAAAATAACGACTTTACCGTCATACTTTGCAGTACATTGTGTTTAGTGCTAATTAGCAAATGCAGCTAACACATTAAACTAAGGTGGTTAACACATTAAACATAACCTGCTAAACATCAGAATGTTAACATATTATTTGTGAACATAGACCTTTTTCACAGCAGCCATTTTGATATGACATTGTAGGGTAAACAGATGTTAGCAGCTATAGTAATTAAGGTTCCCTTCGTACTGTTATGCATGTTGTCTCACTGGAAAGGCTCTGGTGCACTGAATGGAATGGAGCCTTAGCATCAGATGCTAACACCTGTGTTTACCCTACTATGTCATGTCAAAATGACTGCTGTGAGAAAGGTCTGAGCTCAAACCTCCATTTGTAGTACGGACCTCCTAGCATGGATGTAGGCTCGGTGGCAAAAGAGGCTTGGTAGCAAGATGATAAAGCAGACCGGAAACAACCTGTCTGAAGCTCCTGCTCATCTTTCATGGTGCACCATTGACCTTCAGAAACTTCAGGATCATGGCGGGCCTCAGTTACAGCTGTGATTCCAGGGAACCAAACATCCAAAACATCCGTCATCCTGGATAAATTATTCATAACGGACCTGCCAGGGAGACGGCAGGACTGATGTATTTGTTTTGCCTGTCCTATCACTTCCCTCAGCCTGTCTTCCAGCATTTTAGAAGACCGTCTTATATTTAGTGCACAACAGGGACAGGGTGACAACTGCTCGCCTGCTGCTCCCGGTGAAACAAAACTTTCAACAAATCTTCCCTTCGTACTGTGTTCAGTTCAACAGAGATCTGTTTGTTTTAAATGCACAGCTCGAGAATCCAGTAACTTGTGTAGTACGACGACAGTGTTTTTTGTCATATTTAATAAAGTCAAATCATGTGATGATCACCATCAGATCACTAACTTATTTGAAGAGGATCATATGTACTCCTTAAACATTTGCTTTTGCACTCATCCTGTCAGTGCTAGTACAATAGCAAACAGCCAAAACAGGTTCTGGGTATTTCAACACTCGTAAACTTGAGTTATGCAAGGTGTGGTGATGATGAACATCGTGTCTGGACGAGCCTTAATAAAACACTCTAGACTAGTTATGCATTTTTACTAACACAGACGAGGGTATCAGAGAGTGTAACCTAATCCATGTTTTATTGTGTAATTTTAATTCAGTGTCTTAAAGTGTTTATCTCTTCAGTAATACACAAAACTGGACAGGGGGTCATTATTATTACGTTTGCTACCCCCCTTTTTCCAACATGTATATGAGCCACATATCACCATTATTGTCACGTTTAAGGTTGTAAGCAAGTAAGAGGCTTAGTGTAATTTTCTTGAGACATGCAGCATTCACCACTAATTGAACAATCCGTCTTGCAGCAAGGTATAACTTCCTGCAAGACAACTGTTTGGTGTTTTACGAGAAGCTTGAAGATTGAAGACAGGCCTTTTATACACCCTCAGGACTTAAGTACAGCGCATAATGAAAGCGAGAGTTAAAATGATGTCACCTTAGAGCCGAAACATTAGACTTACATACACTTTAACCACTGCCATAATATTGTCATTTGATATTTGTACCTTGCAGTATCTCCCGATTGTGGGATTCTCCCACAGAGGAGGAGAATTCATCTGCATTTAGGGTACCTCACATGACATTGAAATGTGATAAATGCATGTTTTCACACGCCTGAACAATAACTGTTGCAGGAATGAACAGTCGTCATAGATGCTTGGAGATTAAGTGCTGATACAAGTATTTTCATTCTGTTCATAAGGATATTGTCGAGACTTTATCCAACTTTCAGGGGCCACGGTGAGAAATGAGCATGTATGCGCACGTAATTCACGCTGACTCACCAGGGGACCTTTCAAAGTGTTTTCCACTAGTGGAATACAATAAAAGGACGTAAAGGGAATGCTCAATAGCTGTGAAACTGTCAGGAAATATAAAACAGATGGGAGCTTTGTTTGTCATGGAGCTGGAATGTACACTTATTTCTAAAAAAAAAACTTAAGATTTTCACATCTGAATTATGAGTGAAATGATCATGAGCTGATATCAAAAGTTATGGAATTTTCTATGCTGCACTGTTCAGCATGTAATGACTCATGTCATGTCAGCTGTTGCATGCACATATGTGACAGCAGGGTGTGTCTTCCTGTAAAACATCCACATTATTCAGCTCAAAAATATTGCGAAGACACCCAAAACTTTTCCACTTAAATGGGCATACATGCACTCACTGTACAACAAATGTGGCATCGTGTTGTTGCAGGTCTGCCTTTTTTTTCACCCCCTCGGGTTGGTATGAAGAAACACATGAGGGCGGTGCTAGTACTTTTCCCACTCGGTAATGCCTCATCTCTCCAGTGAGACAACTTTTTTAAAGAAGGTGCATCAGAAACTAGGAGCTATACCTCTGACAACCTCCCTTCTTCTCAACTTCTTAAGGTAAAGTGTTCTTTCATTTTAGCCATGCATGAACGATACATGTCTGTGCATACAGGTGTGTGTTTATCATGATAGCGAATGGATAATTGTCTAATAAGAATAATAATAATAACTTCTTTGTCATTATTGTGTTATTTATCACCAAAACTCTGTATGAGGGTGAATTATTGATAAAGCAGCCACTACTCTGATTTTTACTCAACTACTTTACTTAAGAAGAACTTTAAGGTACTTGTACTTATTTGCAGCCAATATTAAACTTTTTACTCCATGACATTTCTTTAATAACTTGTTACTTGTTACTTTGCAGATTCAGATTATAAATATAAAGTATAAATCAACTAATACATAATGTATTAAGTAGTTCAAATTTGCCCCACCTTTGCCATCAGTGATGCTTACACATGAATGCATCACTAAACATAATCCACTAATAGTTATTATGCAACAGGCCGTTTTGCAGGAGTATATTTACTTATTTTTCTAACTTTACTTATATAGATGCAAATACCTTTGTACTTTTACTCTAAACAGAAACATAGAGGTAATTTTCTTTATTGATTTTGGCAGCACTTGTGTACAAAACTGGTAGTGTTTCTACTGCCTCCTTTCATTGATTTCAAGGGGAAGATCTCTTAATAACAATATAGAAATAGGCAATTTTCTGGCTGATGGTTTCATTTTTAAAACTAAGTGAAAAGATGCAGCCTATAGCATTCACATATATTTAATTTGTATGTATTTATTTGAGGAACTCCACTTTTGTAACCAGACCTGCGCCCTTGCCAACGGCTGTTTCTTAATCACAGTTATCAAGTCTAAAATCTGTGGTAGTAATTTAGAATGATTCAGGACAGACAGATGCAGCGGCAGAAGTGTTACACAACTCATTGTTTTGTAAGAGAAGTGTGCCAAGCATGCAAGTTTAGAAGTCTGCTTTTGTGGGCTGCTGCTTCAGAGACAGGGCGTAAACCCTTTTTTTTTTTTACGACAGTCAGGCTACGCATTTATAAGCTTCTAATTATTTGATATTTATTCAAGCTGCACTTTTATGTATTTGTGAGTCCTTGTTGCACTTTCACAAGCTTTATTCCTGTTACAGGCTCTCCTCAGTAACCCCCTCCCATACAAACAAAATGGCAGATGACCCATGGCAGAGGGCTTATGACTTTGCTGTTCAAGTGGCAAGAAAAGCCGGAGCTGTACGTAAAAGCCATCTGTAATAGCCTCTAAATGTATTTCTTCTGCGGTGTTTGCAGTAGGGTAAAACTGAATTTGAGGACATTTTCTGATAATCAAAGTATGCCCTATTTTAACCTCCTGTGCCAATAATATTCTATTTGTTCAGGAAATCCGGAAAGCCGGGGAGAGTGAAATCAGGGTGATGACAAAGAGCTCCACTGTAGACCTCGTCACTAAGACTGATGAGAGGGTGGAGAAAATCATCATCGGCTCTCTCAAGGAGGAATTCGGAGAAGGCACACACTGGTGAGACGTGCACCACAGACACGTGTGAATCTTCGTATGCTTGTACCGTTTGTAACAGAGGCACACATTATTTGCATATATTGATATCGCTCCATCACCTGTTCTGTGCTGCAGTTTCATTGGAGAGGAGTCAGTCGCAAAGGGGGAGCCCTGTATCTTAACTGATAAACCTACATGGATCATAGACCCTGTGGACGGCACCACAAACTTTGTGCATGGGTAAGATGTCAGTGGTTCTAAAGGACAATTTGTTGTGTATAATTTCTGTAATAGGACACACAATAAGCATTGGTAGTGACAATTACTAACAGTATCTGCATGGCTTATTGTTGATCAGTGCATTTAACTCAGTGAGTATTCTGTAGGCTATAAGTATTTTTGAGCTCTAACTTTTGCAAGGGTTCCCAGCCAAGGAATTTCAAGACCTGAAACTCAAGAATTTCAGGTCTTGCATTTCTGGAAGCAGAGGGAAAACAACAACTTTCTCATATTTCTTTACATTTAACCAACATGAGAGTATTCTTACCATCGTGGCAAGAAAGCAAATAAACTCTATATCTATATAATCTATATAATACTAATAATAGATGCACTTGGCAAGAAAAAGTACCCTTTTCTGGCTATGTAATAATATATGATGTACATTAAACCACTCGTTTGCAGATTCCCGTTCGTGGCTGTGTCTATTGCCTTTGCTGTCAATAAGGAGGTATGTCAAATCAAACAAGAGAGCGTTTTACCGTCAATAAAAGTAGTTCATCCTGCCTAGTGTGTGAAAGCTAAAAGAATGACTTCTCTGTTCAGTTGGAGTTTGGTGTGATTTACAGCTGCTTGGAGGACAAGATGTATAAAGCAAGGAAGGGCAAGGGAGCTTTCTGCGACGAAGAACAAATTCAGGTGTCCGATGTAAAAGGTAACACGGCCTTATTCCTGCGCACTACTGGTCAAAAGTTTCGACATACTATTCTGCACATTTGAATAGAACACAAAAGAGATTTGCAGTGCAGCACTCTTGATTTTCACCTTCACATCAAGGACTTCAGGTAACATATATTTTAGAAACATATTAACAAAGCCTTCAGGCAGAATCCTCTACATCAAAAATATATCAAAAAGGTTACACGCATTCACTTTGGAGGACTTTTGGCTAGCACTGTATGTGTGAGTCAGTCACTGTCACACACACTAGTATAATTACATTATACTAACCCCTTTGGCATGTCATTGCAGATATCAATAAGTCCATTATCATCTCTGAGCATGGAACTGACAGGACCAAGGAAAAAGTAACCAAGATCTTCTCCACCATGCAGAAGATCCTCTGCATCCCAGTGCATGGGTAAGTGGTCTTGGCATGCATACACTGTCTCCTTATGCTGTGTGCTGCCCTACAAAACCATGACAGAGTAACCAGTTAAAATTGAGTGAAGTTTGGAATCTAACTTTAACATATAAAAAAATAATATGCGTTACAAATGTATAATTTCTGTGAAATAGCACGTGCATTCACAGCGGCTGCAAAATGGAATTAAAAACCAAGCCTAACCACAGGACCTCTGGTTTGATCATCTCTAAAATAATTGCTGCTAAAAAAGCATTAAACTAAGACACTGCAACATTCCTATCTGTGACACAGTTTGCCCGTCAGTCTGACCCTTTTTTTCTCTACCACTGCATCTACAGTTACTGTTTGCTGCCTTTGCAAGGCAGTGCAGCCCACTTGTATTCATTAATCTCCAATTGATCTGTCCTGACAGGCTCCGTGGGTCCGGGACAGCTGCCACCAACATGTGTCTGGTGGCCACGGGGGCAGTGGAGGCCTTCTTTGAGATTGGGATCCACTGCTGGGACATAGCTGCTGGAGCGGTTATAGTCAAAGAAGCAGGGGGAATACTACTGGATGTTGATGGTGTGAATGCTTTCAAATCAGATCACAGAGTAGTGATTAAGCAGCTTCAGTACTGAATGCAGAGTCTTGCAAGCTAAAGTTAATGAATGGTTATAAGTGAATACAAAAGCAAGGTTTATGTTTTGGTGGAACCCGTCTTAATAAAGGCTTTGTTTGACAATGCAGGGGGACCGTTCGATTTGATGTCTCGAAGGATGGTTTCAGCGAACAACGATATTATTGCTAACCGGATCATCAAGGAAATTGAAATATTCCCGGCGGTAAGGGACGACGCTCCGATCCAGAAGAAATGAGACTATACATTCCAAAATGAGTACCAGAAGTCCACTCTGTCGCTGTATGTCTAATAAAGTTGCTGTGCTGTAATCACCACTGATTGTATTAATCTGCATACTGTGTGCCTTTCATTGGCTGCACATACTTTTAATTCAGTCACCAACTGAAGTGACCTCAAGATTACACTTGATTGCCCTTTTGCAATTTGTCAATTAAAACTATTGATTGAAGTGGGCAACAGCTGTAATCTACCACTTAGCATTCTTGTATACCAGCAATGTATATATATATATATATATATATATTTTATACATTTACACGTATTTGGTGTATAGCTGTCCATGTATGCATTTGATCATACACGAAACATGAATTATTCTGTTTATAGATGCACATCCACAAATATATTTGTTTTCAACTCTGCCACACCCCCACTATCCCAACAGATTGCGGAAAAGAAGCTGGCCTCGTCTCAGATTGATGCTTATTTTGGACTGGATTTCCTATCACTGAATTTATTTCCCCTCCCGTCTCATGTGACTCTAATTTGTAATTATCTGATGGAAATTAGTGAAATTCCGCCGGGGTGATTACCCTCATTAGAGGCAACAGTCCTTAGCACTGAGTTAAGTCAATGCTGAAGTGACTCTATAAACACCGGCCCTGTCAAGTGTCATATAATTTACTTACAGTTAATGTCACCATATTGCCTGAGAGCCTCTATTTCAGCATTATTACTGTTTACACAATTCATTACACTCATGCTACTGTTCACCACTAGAGGCCAGTAATGCATTAGCAATTAGATGGGATCTTAAAGATGCTCTCATTTTGCTTTGGTGGTTAAACTTGCAGGCTTTTCTCAAATAATAAGTTTGTCAAGTGCACAGAGGCTGTGGATAGAGACTGACGGCATGCTCTGAAGTCCCCCCCCCC